ATTAAAAAAGTTGAAATTTAACTTGGTTTCCCCCTTCAGCCTTTTTTTTTTTTTTTTTTTTTTTTTTTCATATGATATTGCCTATAATATTTTATTCTTGACAGGTGACCCATGACTTGCTGGATAAGGTGGGGGAGGTGGAGACAAACCTGCAGAGTCACACTCTGTTCCAGGACAGAATGGCCAAGCTGACGGACTGGGTCATCATCACAAACCAGACAATTGTGACAAGAGGACTAAATCCTGTCCAGGCTCAGGTAGTTTTTCCAAGTTCATGTCACAGGAGGCAGCATGCATGAATGTTCAGACGGCAGTTTTAGTTTTCGTTTTTATTCATTTGCAGGCTCTCGAGGTCTCCATGAAAGACAGGAAGAAGGACCTGGAGGACTTACTGGCTCATTCTATCGAGCTGCAGAAACATCAGCAGCTGTCGCCTCAGGAAAAGGTCCCTGATTCTATGATAATATGCTTTGATAAAGGACGTATTGAATTTAATTACACCATATTGCTCTATTAAAGCGACACAGTTCTACCAGGAGGTAATTTATTCTAATTTCTGTGCTAAAACATTAATTTTAACATTTGTGGCCTTTTCTCAGGGTAAAGTAGAGCAGCTGGCTGCTGACTGGAAAGCCCTGGATGGCCATTTAAGGGAATCTCTTCAGGTTCCCGTCTCTCCATGGACACATCAGCAACATGTTGTCCAGCACCAACAGCTTGGTAAGAAACAACAAGGAATGAGTTCTTCTGTTTCTAATGAAGCGGATCGGATAAAAGTGAATTGTTAAAAAAAAAAAAAATCTCACAATTGATTCCTTCTGTTTTATGATTTGTATCTGATGAACCATTTTTTGAGTTTAGTTTTACTGCTGGCATCCCAGACTCATTAGTTCCAGACCTGCAAAATCAAGAAATGATAATAATGAAGTAAGGCAAAAAACAAAATCATTGGCAGCTATCAGTCTAGAAAGGGTTAAAAAAGCAAGGTAATTGGGCTTCAACAATAAGATGAATGACGAAAACTTACACTAGAGGTAAAACTTCCTGTTGCTGTCAAAATTATTGCAAAAAGGCATCAGCATCTCTTGAGGTTACAACATAACCCAGAAACTACAGGTCTCAGTTGCCTTAGTTAAGGTCAATGCTGATGACTGAATAATAATGACAAAAGTGACTATGCTGTTTTCAAAACAGACATCTTGCTGATTCCTTAGACTTTTGGGAAAATAATGTGAAAAGAAGAAAGAAATGAAGCTTTTTTGGAAAGCGTGTTTCATTGGTTGCAAACTTATTCAGCATTTCAGAAAAGAACATCATTCTACCAATCAAACATGGTGCAGCTACTTTGAAGTCTGGGACTGATTTGTTGCTGTTGGAAAATGACCTCGGCAAAGTTTGATATTCCTTTAATTAGACAAAGAAAATTAATGACATTTTTGGTAGTCATTAACAGTAATAAATGTGTCTCTAAACCAGCAGTTTTAGGATTAAATTAGCATTTTCTTGGAGACTTGTTTTATCTAGAACATTGCTGTGGGGATAATCATATGCAAGCAACATTATGAAAACCATGTTTGAAGTCTCATTCATCCTGATTCATTATTAAACTTTTCTTGAAGCTATTTTAAAACATCAATAGAATACTGAAAATATTCCTTTCATTTCTTATTTTGCAGCCAGCTCTTTTAGCATTGCACAGCATTTTTCTCTTTGACCCTTCTCTGCACTTGTTCAGTGTCTTCGGTGCCCTCAGCTGTTCACATGGCCAGCTTGGCGAGTGAGGACTCCCGTCTTCGGGCCCCGTACTCGGCGGACACTGTGGCCCCCACTGATTTGAACAAACGTGCCACAGAAATGGCCGACTGGCTTCTTCTCATCACTCAGATGCTTAAATCTAACATCGTCACTGTAGGAGACACAAAAGAGATCAGGACGACTATAGGACGCCTTCAGGTGAGTGAACAGAGGATGATGCAGTTAATATGCAGATAATGTTGGCTGTTTTTTTTTTTTTTTAATTTATGATCATTTACCATTAAATCTTTGAAGCACATTTGATCGTCACCAATTATGACTTGATTTAAAAGAGAGCGCCTTGAGTTGAGAAGACTATAAAAAGTCAGCTCATGTTTTCCTCATTCAGTGGCTGCGCTCTCGTCTTCGCTGACGCTCGTTAAACAGATTGTGCTGCCTCTAATTGTATTCATATTCTACCATTTGCAGTAGATGTAGCATGACATCTTCACACTCTGTGTTGCTTTGTTAATCGGGCCCTGAACTAGACAATGTTGTGGGAAGAATTAAATCTGGTGACAAGCTCTCCAAGTTTTTTGGTTTAAGATGAGGAAATCTGCTGGAATAGCAAAAATCATATCTTAGAAATGAGGTTCTATAATTTGAACTGCACAGAACAAAATTATGGCTTTTCAAATTTGCAGATGATGTTCATAGTGAAAACACTGCATATATAAGATTTTTAAAAGTCAGTGCAACATATCAGTGTTTATTTAAGGGAGACATTGAGTGTCATTGAGTTAAATTAAAAAGTACACTGCATTGCAAAATATATTTATACCCCTTATTTAGTTACTTACATTCTTTAAAATGATAGATCAATAAAACATATAGCAGAGTTAATGGTCTCCTTGCCTAACTTGATTGTTTAAATAACTACTGAATGTACAGGTTTGATCAGAGTGAAGGGAGTTAAATACAAATGCATGGCACAATGCATAGAAAACTCAAAGGCCATGTATAAGTTCCTTAAATTATCAACTTTTTTTTTAGCAATAAAATACAAGCTCTCATGTCTTTGTTTTGTCCTCTTCCAGGTGACAAAAAGTGACCTGGAGCAGCGTCACTCCGAGCTGGAAGACATCTTCACCTTGGCACAGAACATTAAAAACAAAACCTCAAACGTTGATGTCCGCACCTCCATTTCTGAAAAATGTACGCGCGGACCACAATGTGGTTTCAAAACGCATATAACACATTAGGCTTATACATCAGTTTGTCAGCATCACTTTTTTTTTTTTTGTTCGTTTGCCTGACTGTAGTGGAGAAAGTGCGCAGCCAGTGGGACAGCACTCAGCATGGCATTGAAGCCCGACTTCAGCAGCTGGAAGACATGACTGTCCACAGCAATCAGTGGGAGGAGAAAAGGAAGGAGGTGAAAGCCCTTATTGCTCATAACGAAGGACTCTTCCACAACCTTCTGCAGCGGGCCAAAGATCCCTTGACTAAACAGCTCGAGGACTCCAAGGTTAGGGCAGATTTCCGCTTCTCTAACCCGTTATGTCTGTAATTCCTGAGGTCATTTACTTTGAAGCTTTGTCCTTGTCAGTACGGTAGACTAGACATCTACTCCAGGGTATTTTTCCCAATGGACTGGAGCAAAACTTGACTCTTATTAGATGGCTTTTGAGCAGCAGCCTAAGTTAGGAGAATAAATCCCTCCTCTGAAGTTTCACTTTGATCCTTAATAACATTCATACACCTACATAATCTTAACTGAGTTTCTTTAAATGAGTCCTGACTCGGATGTTTTGAGAACTAAACACTAGGGGGCGTCTAAGTTTAAGATAACACAGCTTGCTTTTTGAAAGCTTACCCCTCTGGGCTAATGTAGCTGGGATGAGTAATTGTCTATTTAAAGTCGAAAGAACAGAAGCCCCCCAGTCATATAGGCATGACTTATTTCCTAATTCTAAATTGAGGTCTTATATAATGTGACTGGTTGAACAAACAGTCAGAAAACTGAGGAGCAGAACAATTAAGTTGAAGTTTTATTTGGCTTTGAGATTTAGCCAAAGCAGTTCAGGAAAGGAGGAATGTTGCATAAAAATACGCAAAGTTTTTTTCACTTTCTGGAAAATGTTATTTAATTTGGGTATAACATAGTATGGATAAACATGTATAAGGAAAGCATGGACAAAATATTCCCAGTCTTTATTCCTTGTCCTAATGTCAACATACGTATCTGACTTTCTAAAGAATATTTCTCCAATCAATGTGTTGCTGCCTTTTGGGTAAAAGATGCAGTGTATTTATTAATGCATCTTTCAATCTGTCCATCCATGCAGCCATTTGTTTGTCGTCTCATCATTTATTCATTGTTAGTCTGTTGGCCGTTCGATCTGTCCACCTGCATCTCAGCCCATGTTTTCATGCAGCAGTCTGTAAATTTTCACAGTCAGTTCGACTGAGAACACCAGAAATCTAAATCTGTGCAGAAACTTTCTAAAAGATTACAAAAAATAATCATTAAGCCAACTTTGTGCAGCATTGGAAGTCCTTCCAGATGGATTTTTGAGAATCAGTGAATCTCATGTAGTGTATTTTGCATTATGTTTTCCAGGAGTTTTCCCAAGCCCTGGGCCAAGACCAAATCGCAGCCTTCAACGAGCTTTCCAACCACCTTTTACGAGAGTATTCCTCCGATGACACCAGGAGAATCAAAGAGGTCGCAGACAAACAGAACGTGGCCTGGAACAGCCTCAGCAAGAGGTAAATCACCCGTTTGCCTCTCTGTATGTTAATGCGCAGGCTTTATTGTTAATTTGGGTTTCTGTCTCACATTGTTGCACATTTGACGAGTTTGTGTTGGTTTGCAGGGCAAATGACCGTCGTGCTCAGTTGGACAGCGAGCTGAAGGAGGTCCAGGTGTCTCTAAAGGAGCTGGAGTCCTTCCTCAGGTGGCTGCAGGAGGCCGAGACGACAGTCACCGTCCTGTCCGACGCCTCCCAGAGGGAAGACGTGTCCCAGGATTCTGCCAACGTGAAGGAGCTGAGGCGACAACTGGAGGTAGGGGTGGAAATGGAAAAGGAAACCAGCGTGTGTGTCTAATTCATGCACAGGTGCTAGCCTATTATCTCAGTGTCACCCTTCATTAACGTAGCCCTCACCAGCTGAACTGATGCTGCGGTGTGTGTGTGTGGATGAGCACATCTGTGTGCTCGCTGCTGGTTAAAAGTGTGTGAATGAGAGGGCATGCAGAGGGCGCGTGAACGCTTGTATGCATTGAATGTGGCTCATTGATCCTCTTGTTCTGTGCCGCTTAGGTATTCAGGTTGCGTGTATTTTCTCCTTCTTTCATTTGCTTTGTCATTTACCCAGACCTTCCCTTTGGGATCATTTGACACCCATCATCTTATGCTTTATGTATCAGTATAACCTCAGAGTCCCAGTTACCTGCCTCCGCATTTATAATAGCTACAAATCTTTCTACATCCTTCTATATTTGATATATTGCTCTGGAAAAGCGGATTCTTTTTTTTTTTTTTTTTCCCTCAACTCCTTGGGGTTTTATTTTGCGTTTTATTTGGCACTGTGGATAAACTTAATATCACACTCCTTTTTTTTTTAGAACTAAAAATAAAGCAATATTATTCAGTTGCGTCAAAATGTTCAGTCGCTCCTTTGAAGCACTAAATAACAAATCGCCTCACTGATCTGATTTTCCTTTGTATCAAGCACAGGTTCTATTTTGCACGCATCAGTAGCACGACACAAAAGTTATTTTACCAATCGTACCCCATCACACTGATATTTGTGCTGACTTGATTCTAGTAGATTATTATTTCAAAAATCGGAAGAACGCCCAACTAATTTGCTGCAGCTATGTTCAAGGGTCAGTATTTGTGCAAAACTTCTTAATAAAGCAACTGAATTGAAGGTTAAGCTTAAGGAAAACCTTGGCACACAGCAGTTAGTGGGTATTATAGAGTTGATTAAAACCCACAGGTTCTTTTTGTTTCATTAGCAGACCCTGTCGACTTTGATGGATGGTTCTCACCCACTGAAGCTGGGTTAATGAAACAGAGACAGATGTTAAACTTCAGTCTCGGTGCACCAACTCTGAGTTAAAGGCTCTGCTGTGATTTAATGTTTAGTTAACTCTAAGACTTGACTTTCGCTTGCATTCTGACGACTGTTTTCATATTAAACGTGCACAGAAAAGCGCTGAGGGCAGCAGTATTTGTTTTCTTGCCCAGCAGTTTTTTTTGTTTTTGTTTTTTTTTTACAAATGAAACGTAAGCACATATGTACTTTGCAAAGCAGCTGTAGTAAATGCGAGGATTTTTTTATGGATTTATTACAAATCTCTTTTCTTGGTTTCACTGTGAACTATTGAGTCCAGATTTTTTTTCAAATAGAAAGCTTGAATTGAGGTATATTTGACTTCATACCCATATTGAAATAAAGAGCTCTTTAAACACTGTAAAAAGTAATTTCAGGCATTTTTTATTTTTGTTATCCCACGATCTATTGATTATGTTGATTTGTCACAATAGCCCTAAACTAATAGATTGCATTTTACCAGTTTCACAGTATTTACTGTTGGATTGTGATATTAAATCACTTAACTCACTTATGAATCCCTTTGTAAATGCTGCAGTCCTCATTTTTTTAATAACTATTGATATTTTGCCCTGGCTGAAGTTTATAAAGGTCAGCTTTGGTTTGCTGCTTCAGAAAAGATGTTTTCCTTCTTTATCAACCCAGAATTTTACCTTGAGCATCATAATATTTTATGGCTAGTGTTTTAGCTGCTTACTGCTCATCTCTCTGAGGATAGCTGGGGATATTTGAGCTTCATGATCTGAGAACAGTAGATGTCACGTTGCAGTTTCTTGTACATATTTAACGTAAAGTGTAAAACTTAGATTGTTTGGGGAAAAAAATACATCTAACTCTCCAATTTGAGTCTTATCAGGAAAAACAACAATTTCTTGCAACTATCCATCACGTGTTGGCACATTAAGTAATTACCTGAAAATGAATGGCATCATAAACCCCCAGCTCATGTGATTTTTCATTATCCAGAGCTGGCATGTGCTGTAAACTCCATCATGGTGCTCGTATACAGCTGCCGTTGAAGGTATTGCAATCATAGCCTCAGGCAGAAAAGTGCAAACGGGTACACAGCTTGAAGAGATGATTTTTATCAAGTTTGACATCTATGTGTTTGGCTGGGGGTGTTGTTATGGGTGACTGAGCTGTTTGTTCATCGACCAGATGAACCATAGTCTTCTTGAAATGTCCAGCTACAACCTGGTTGGGCCAGTAGCATTTCGACAGAACTTGCAATATATTTAGTCACCTATTGTAATTCCTTGTGAAGCAGCCAAATGAGTGATGTTTTTGTGGGTTAACCTTGTTTATACAGAGCGAGCTTATCGTCTAGCCTTTCAACGTGCGAGTGCACGCGAGTCTTTATTTCTATTATTTGGATACAGGCCTTCCAGGGAATAAAGCGCTTTACTTGGCGTAATCCAGCAGTTGTCTGTGACATTCAGTTTGTGCTTGTTTTATAATGCAGGAGTTGTAATTACATTGAAGAGTCTATGTCAAGCCTGCTCATCCTCACTTCAAATAAGTTATTATCGTTCTCTCGTTGAAAGGGAGAAGAGTTTTTTTTTTTTTTTTTCCCCCCCACTAATTCTTCAAAACAAAAATCAATTAGGCTCATAGAAACTGGAACTGAACAATTTGCTGCATTGCAGTATTAATATGTGCAATATTGTAAAAGACTGGTTTGATGCAATATTTGGTATGTTGTAATATTTTAGATGCTATATATGCTCTGACCGGATATAGATCTACATCTCCAATAATGATCAAAGTTGGTATAGATTGGAGAGGATGTTGTGATGATGGGAAAACAGTAGAGGGAAAGGCGGGTTAGTGGGAATCGATGTCGTTATTATCTCCACATTCATAGCAACAGTATTGCAAAGTCATGCTTCCTTACTATTGTGCAAATGAGGACTCTGTGTCTGCGTAATTAAGTTAATTTTACATGTATGTAAGCTGCAGCTTTGCTATTTTTGTCTTTGTCCCTCTCCATATTATCTCCCCACTACTTGTAGACTTCCAGCTGAATAAATTATGATTTAAAGTCTTTCCTCGTTGTTAATTCACCCGTCTTTTAACCCGTCACCTCTGATTTTCTCCAACTAATTCATTTATTTCCGTGTATATTCTCAACTAAACTTTGTCTAAACACACAACAGCATGTAAACATTCAAGATAAGTTACTTGTCGGCTATTTTCCTGCTTCAATACACTCTTTATTTTCAATTATGTGGACAAACACTTGCAGTCCCTGAATGTATTGATATTGTGGTGGGGTTCTTGCATTTGCTTTGTTTTGATTTGAAACTATTTCCGCAATCGCTCATTCGAGGCGTCATAAACCAAAGCTCACAGACTGTAAATAGCCTTTCACAACAATAATGTTGGTCTTTACTAGTTCCATTTCAATTTTTATATTTGTTTCCCAGTTCAGATTGGATTAAAGTTTTTAAGTTGCTCATTGTTGAAAAAGAGCAGCTTGTATCCATTGCCAATAAATGAAAAGCCTTGTAAGTGAAGAATATATATATATATATATTTTTTTTTTTTACCGTTTTGGCAACACAAAGCATGCCATTCAAACTGTAAAGTAGAGATACAGAGATCAGTTTTTCAATTTTGTTTGATAGGGAAAACAATCTGACTCTCTAAAAAGAAAAATTGAGCATTGTGCATGAGATGTGCTGCAGGGTTTTATTGATGGTGGCAACAAAAAATGAAAAAAATCCATAATTATCTCAAAAACCTTAATCTGTTTAACTGAAGAAAAAAACAAACAAATACTATGAAGTATATCATGTTGGGTGATGTTTGATTAAAAACAAAAAGTGGAAAATGTTAGTTTTTTATAAATTTTTAGGATCAAAAGTCATTCACTCAGTTTTTGAACTGCTGTTTGCTGATTAGAGCAGATGAAATTATCCAAATTTATTCTGAATTATCTTGTTTTTTGAGTCATTCGGCGTAGACATTTTCAGATCGTCATCTCTGTATTCGTGACTCCGACTGGAGTTTTCGTGAGCGTGTGTGCCGTACGACTGCCAACAAAGGAAATGACAGGAACCAATACTTCCAGGAAAGCTGGATGTCTGAAGCAGCCCCTCCTGCTTTGGAACTCTATTGTGTGTTTGCATCTCATTTATTCTCACTCCATCTCTCCTCTTTCACTTAAATCTCCTTGTCTCTTGTTTATTGATCTGTTCATTGCCTTTCCGTAATGTCATCCTCTCTTCATGGCAGAGTCATTGTTTTCCTTGCTTCATACCGCTGCGTTTCATGTCTCCGTTTCTCTCTCTCTCTCTCTCTCTCCCCCCGTGTTTCTCTCACTCTCTTCCTCTCTCCAGATCAGAGGCAGTAAAAAGTGAGCCTCATGTGAGCTGTTCGCTCTCGTTGTCCGGTGCAACTCGTGCCTTTTCCTCATCTCTCTCCTCTCCTCCCGTCCTATCCTGGCGTGCCGGGACTTTCTGCTCCTCTCCCTCTTCTCTCCGTCTTCATTTCACTCCTCCTCGCCGTCATTCTCGTCTGACTCGGCAGGGTGCCGTCACAAGTGATTTGTATAATTCTCTCTTCTAGTTCCGCGGTCGGGGTTGCGCGTGTGAATGTCCGCGTGGAGGAGAAAGTGAGTGTCTCGTCTTGTCCGGTTCGCCTCCATCGTGCGTGTGCTGAGCGACGTGTTGGTGTTTATAAAGAGAGAGAAAGAAAAGCTAAGAAAGGAATCTCCTACCGTCTTTTTGTGAGTGTGTATGTGCATGATGAAGCGTGGGATTGCTCTGAGCTGAGCTCACATGTGTGACTGTTTCTTTCTCTCTCTGAGTACATGCGTTTTTGTGTGCGTGCACGCATCACGTCAGCTTGGCTGGGGTCTGGTCGCTTGGCTGGGGAGAGGGAGAGGGAGAACAATATGAGTGGGGTTGGGCAGTGCTAGCATGCGGACCAGGAGCAGGCTG